CTTTTAATGTTTCTGTTGAGAAGTCTGCTGTGATTTTGATGGGTTTACCTTTGTATGTTACTTGTTTTTTCTCTCTTACAGCCTTCAATATTCTTTCCTTAGTTTCTGAACTTGTTGTTTTAATGATGGTATGTCGTGGGGTAGTTCTATTTTGATCTGGTCTGTTTGGTGTCCTGGAGGCCTCTTGCATCTGTATGGGAATATCTTTCTCTAGATTTGGGAAATTTTCCGTTATTATTTTGTTGAATATATTACGCATTCCCTTCACTTGCACCTCTTCTCCTTCTTTGATGCCCATGATTCTCAAGTTTGGTCTTTTGATGGAGTCGGTGAGTTCTTGCATTTTCTTTTCACAGGTTTTGAGTTGTTTAATCAATAGTTCTTCGGTTTTTCCTTAAATACCATTTCATCTTCAAGTTCTGAGATTCTGTCTTCTGTTTGTTCTGTTCTGCTGGATTGGCCTTCCGTTTTGTTTTGCAGTTCTGTTTCGTTCTTTTTTCTGAGGTTTTCCATATCCTGGGTGGTTTCCTCTTTAATGCTGTCTATTTTTGTCCTGAGTTCATTTATCTATTTATTCATCATGTTCTCTGTTTCATTTTGGTGTTTATACAGTGCTTCTATGGTTTCCTTTATTTCTTCTTTTGCTTTTTCAAATTCTCTATTTTTGTTGTCTTGGAATTTCTTGAGTGTCTCCTGTACATTTTGGTTGACCCTATCCGGTATCATCTCTATAAAATTCTCATTGATACCTGTACTATGTCTTCTTTTAAATTATTCCTCTGGGCTTCATTGGGTTCTTTGGCATAGTTTATCTTCATTTTGTTGGAGTCTGGATCTGAGTACCTGTTTTCTTCATTCCCCTCTGGTTCCTGTACTAATTTTTTGCTGTGGGGAAACTGGTTTCCCTGATTTTTCTGTCATCCGTCATTGTCTTTGGTGTTGTTACTGTCCCTGTACTGTGTGCAATTAAGTGTTTTCTAGCTTGTAATAATAACAGTGGTAATATTTAGAATGGAAGGATGAGCTGAGATGGAAAGCAAGAAGTTAAAGAAAGGGGGAAAACAAATACACAGACAAGAAGGAGAAAACAGAACAAGGTATCAGACAAGAAAGTTTCAAAGGTATAAACAGGGAGCGTTAGTGTACTAATCGACAGTAAGCTGAACAGACATTAGAGAGACAGAGGATTGAAAATCAAAAATAAAGATAAGAATAAAATAAAAAATAAGTAAATGAAAGAAATATGTATGTATAAAAATGAATTAAAATAAGATGAAAAATAGAAAATAAAAAAAAAAAACCAAAAAAACCTCCAAGTTCAAATGCAATGAAGTTTCAGTCTTAATAATTTGGGTGTCCTTCTCAGTCTCCCATCCTGGAGATGGTGATGGTGCCTCAGATGTTGTTCCGTAGTTGTCTCATCAAAGGGGACGCATAAAGTAGAAGAAAACTACACACACACCCACACACACAAAAAAAACCCCACCAAGTGTCCCAAGTTCAAATGCAATACAGTTTCAGTAAGTTTTTCAGCATGCTCGGTATGTTTTTAATTGAGAATTTGGAAGTGGGATTGAGACTAAATATCTAGCTCTTTTGCAAATCTTTCCTGTAAACATGCACATATCATAAGGAAATTGTAGGGTTTTTTGGTTTGTTTGTTTGTTTGTTTGCAGAAGTTACTCATAATTTAAAAACTTTAATAGCAGAGGTCTATGTTACAATAATGTGATAGCCAACATGGTGTTTTTTGTTTTGGTTTGGTTTTTTCAGGACTGGGGATTTAACGCAGGCCCTCAAGCTAGTTAGGCATATGCTTCTATCACTTGAGCCATGCAGTCAGTCCTTACCAATATGTCTTGAACTATTGCTAAGTGCCAGGCACTGCTGAGTGCTTTGTGTGCATATCTCATAGCGGTCTCAATAACCATATAAGGTAGAAAATATTATCACTTCACAGATGAAGAGAAGCTCATAGTGACACAGATAGTAAATACAAAGGGATTTCAGAAGGGAAAGAAAAAAATTAAAATCATACTCAGAAAAATTTAAAAAAAATTAAAATCAGTTGGCAAGGGGGATTTTGAAATCCGGCTGTATGTGTAGCATTTGCATTTTATGGAATCCTGATTTTGGAGCAAAGTAGGTTGTGAACATAGTATTGATTGTTACTTTTCTTCTTTTTTTGGTGGGACTAGGGTTTGAACTTGAGTTTGTACTTGCAAAGCAGGTGTTCTATTTGAGCTACACCTCCAGTCCATTTTGCTCTGGTTATTTTGGAGATGGGGGCGTCCCAGGAACTATTTGCCTGGCCTCAAATCAAGAGCCTCCCAATCTTGGCCTCCTCAGTAGCTAGGATTATAGGTAATCATTATTGTAAACTTGTGATATGTGTTAGGTAATTTAATTTTTATAACAATCCTGAAGATCTGAAGATAGGTACTATCGTGCGTGTTTATTTTTGTGGTGCTAGGAATTGAAGCCGGCTCTATCACCATACTACACCCCACGCTCATTATGTTTATGTTCTTTTTCTGTTTTTTTTTTTTGGTTTTCTTTTTGAGACAGGGTGCATGAAACTGATTACAAATATAGGGTGACTTCAAGAAAGTGATAGAACAGGGGTTCAAATTGAATTGGTTCCAGTACTCCAGCATTAATATTTAATACATTTGTATGTTGTGTTTATAAATAAATATTGTACAAATGAGGACATATTGTGGTGTTTCAGTATATAGCAAACTTATTTTACCCATGAAAGTGACTTAGCTTGAGATTTAATTAATATTCATTGAGTATATGGAGATCTTTTTATAACCTTTGGCAGCAAAGTATATGTCCTCTGAATATTTCTTCAGGCTCTGTGGGGTGTGCCTGTTTTGTGTGTTACATCTTTATAATGTTGAGTTTACTAATTGTGACTAAACTGTACCTACCCTTCCTTTATGCACAGTTCAGAGGTGGTGGTGTAGTGGAAAGAGTATGTATTGGATTCATATACCCTTGTATATTAATCCTAGCACTATCAATAACTAGCTGTACGATTTTCAGAAAGTTATGTGTCCTCAGAACTTTCTTTTTGTAACTTATAAAATGGAGAAGACAGCCTTCTTTTTGGATACTAGTGCATATGATGATGTATTGTAAAAAATGCTGGCTATACTATTTAGCACATGGCAGATATTTTAAAAATTGTGCTTTATCTCTTAGTAAATAAATGGTATCATTTTTTTTCTTATAATTCTCAGTTCCTAGGAGAATTTTTTGTTTGGCAAACAGTTGGTAAGTCTGACCTTTAGAATTTGAACCAGATACTGTAGAGTTCCTAAATAAAATATGAAGAGAAATGTGTTAATTTTTTATAGCATGTGTGACTTTTTAAAATCTAACTTTTACTAAGAGGCAATCCGCTGCTTTATTGAACAGTGATGCAGAGAACTCTAGATACCTGTATTTCTAGAGTTCTGTCTTGAATGTGTAAGTCAATGAATGAATAGATTCTAGTTTTAAATGTAAAAAAAACTAGTAATGAAACTCTTTAGAAAATTTCTTACAAGGAGCTGTTCTGTTATAATTTACAAGCTGATTTGTTAACAGTATATTAATAGAAAAAGCCCAAATACACAAAAGATCAGCAGTCCTTGCATATTTTGGAAACATTCTTTTAGATTCTGAATTATCGTTTAATTCCTTCATTTTATGAAAAGAACTTGCTTGAGTTCCTTTTACCTAAGAGCAGTGCGTAAATAATGATGTTTAGTGACTAAGTAACTAAGATTCCTCATTCATAATGTTGAAATTTGGTTGGCATTAAGTATTGAGGAGGCAAAGGAAAAAAATTGATCATCTCTTTTTATATTTCAAAAAATTTTCTGAGAGTTCAGTTTTTTTTCAACTCATCTTTATTAGTATGTCATTTCAGGCCATAAAAGTACACAGATTTAAAGTGTCCCAGGTAATGAATTTTCATACATGTACATGTCTATGTAACCACTACCTTAAAAAGGAAAACCTCAGGGCTGGGGTTATAGCTTAATAGTATAGCATTTGTCTAGCATTTGCACCCCCCTCCCCCGAAAAAGAAACAAAAACAAAAAAAAACAGAAGGGCCAGGAGTGTGACTCAAGTTCTAGAGTGCTTGGCATGCAGGAGGCCCTTGAATCTCCAGTACCACAAAACAACAAGGAAATCTTGAAGATGAGGGTTAGCCACTCACCTATCTGGGAGATTAGTGTTCTGGTTAGGGGAACAGCTAGTGTAAAATCCTTTGGGAACATATTTGGCATGTTCAGGGAACTTTCAGAAGGCCACTTTGTTACATGGTAACAGTGGATTGGTTATAGTGATATGGGAAGGCAAATTGTTTAGAATCTTATGGAACATTGTTAAGACTTTAGCTCTTAGAATGACATGAAAAGCCACTTGAGGATTCATTATACTTAATACGCATGTTTGTGTTGGGTTTTTTTTTTTTTTTTGATGGAATCTCACTATATTGCACAACTGGGATCAAATTTGTGATTCACCTGTTTCAGCCTTCCCAGTAGCTGAGATTACAGGCCTGTGCCACTTTGCCTAGCTATTAATACAAAATTTAAAACATAGCACTTCCTGAATACAACTTAGAGATTTCATATTACCACCTTTTTTTTTTAAAAAAAGTGTATCTCTAAGTTGTGATGTACAACTTAGAGATTTCATATTACCACTTTTTTTTTTTAAAAAAAAGTGTATCTCTAAGTTGTGATGTAATTCTCCTGCCTCAGCCTCCTCAGTGCTGGGATTATAGGTTTGCATTATCATAATTATTACTGCTTTTTTGGTTTTATTTTTTCCTTTATTGTTAGGCTGGGTGGGGGTACATTGTAGCATTTACAAAGGTTCTTACAATGTATCAAATATATCATACATGAAAAGGATACTGCTTTTTTATATAGCTACGTAGAAGTGAAATCATCATTTTTCTGACACATGTACTTAATATTCTAATTATCTTATTTCAGAAAGATCCAGATTACCTGAAGCTATGGTTGGACAATTTTGTTTCTAGCTATGAACAATTCTTAGATACTGACTTTGAAAAGATGCCTACCAGGTATGTAGAAACACTAATTATATTCCCTTGGATGGAATTGTTTATTTTTGGCACAAAGATTTAATTGATGACATATTACAAGAATGACAATGTTTACAAGCTTGTTATTCCTTAATAACCCTGCTGTCAAGCATTCTTCACTAATTGATCACAACAGTCTTCTTTGGTGTTACTAAATCTTGCCTCTTGAAGCTGCTTTGATTAGATACTACCCACTGGGTGTATGCAGTTCACTTCATTTCTAAAACTAGCTGTTACTGGTGGCTGGGGAACATGTTTCAGATGTTCCTTGGGTCTTGGATACAATGCCTAAGATTAGGACACTTTTTCAAAGTGAGAGATGAATAGTTTAGCTTAGTCTTAAAAATTATGCTTAAATCTCTGTTTAAAACATTATACATTTTTTTTTCTTTTCTCTCTTGTTTTTTGAGACAGAATCTTAGAGTGTAACTCAGACTGGTTTTGAATTTGCTGTGTAGTCCAGGCTGGCCTTGAACTCTTGACTCTCCTACTTCAGCCTCCTGAGTAATGGGATTACAAGGAGTGCATCACCATGCCCATTTTACTCTGGTTTTTCTAAGCACCTTTTAAAAAACTCTTCATCAGGAGAGAAGTATATATAAAAATGAGAGATTTACTGGTACTGTTAATAAGTAATAGAGAATGGAAGAATCCAGAGCTACAAGTTAAGTTCATTTCCCAAACTAAAATGAAGCATGGAAGTTTCACAATATGGTTATAGAAATTGGCAGTCTTAGATGTTCATTTTATAGAAATATTTCCTTAATTTGTATTTTAGGATGGTTCAGAAGGAGGCTAATGATATTTGTCATATATATTTGTGTGCATGTATCTGTGCAATGAATCAAAAAACCTTTCACTCAATGTAAAAATACTAGTAATATCTCACATTAAATATCTGAAGAAGAGTCTACATAAGTTAATAATTGTCATGTCATCATAGGAGCTCTTTAGAATACTCTTTTGAGATTTAGGTATTTTTCATAGAGATAGAGAAATTGGTATACAATGGCATATGAAAAAATTCTTAGGCTTTAGTAATAGTATGTTAAAATATATTACATATTACATTTTTATATATTTTTGTGTATTTCACAGCAAAAAATACACTTTGACTTTGGGTTTTAGTGCCCTGTGAAATAGGGCAGATGATATTAACATTTTATAAATTTAGGGAACTTCAGGGATTAAATGGCCAGCTTCATGTTACACAGGTGGAATTTAGTACCCAGACCGTTAGACTTTGAATCTGGGTAAGCATTTTTATTGTGAGACACACATCAAGAGAGCCACTCACATCTGATATCTTTTGCCGTTACAGAACCATATAGTCTTCTTACACAGAAACCACATCTGACAAATTATTGCTATATTACTTAAAAACAATCTATTGATGCTCATGGTCAGGGTCGACATTCACCTTTTGCTGGTTACCTTTTCTCCCTCTTCTGAACACATGGCTTGGGGAGTCTATAAGGTAGGTCATTAGTGTTTAGTAAAGCAGATGACAAATACTAAACTAGGTACAGGTACTTCATTTTTATTCATCAGTTAAAATGACTTCATTTAGTTAGAAATAATATATGTATACCTAATAATTCTAAGTAGGAAATGCATTAGTTTATATATTTTCATTAAAAATAAAACAGTTAAAATCTTAATCTGTCTTTCTCTCCACTGAATAAGACCAAACGTTCTGCTCTAATATTCTTCTAGTTACAAATCATCTGTTTGTGTCCTGCAGACAAGAAGGCACAGGATATCTGGACAGAATAAAAAAGCTTCTTAGGATTTCGTATGAAAATGCAGTTAATTTAAGTGTCAGAGATTTTCTTTGTATCTTTCAATAGTCTTTCTTCCCCTTGCATTATAGGGTAGATGATGTGCCTCCGGGAATATCTCTCCTTCCTGACAATATTCTGCAGGTTCTGAGGATCCAGTTGCTACAGTGTGTGCAGAAAATGGCAGATGGGTTAGAGGAACAACAACAAGCCTTGTCAATTTTGCTCGTTAAGTTCTTCATTATTCTTTGCAGGTATCTGGTACTTAAAAAAAACAAAACAAAACCACCCATTATTTACTTAAAATAATTATTACCATAATAATACATTTTTGTTGTTTGTTGATATATTAGAAAGCCTTTTATAATTACCATACCTAGTTATAGAGACACCCAGCCAAGAGTTTTAAATGTGGCTTTAAAGTAAAGACAATGACAGGAGATTTTACTTCGGCAAAAAATTATTACACCAGTATTTTCTATATTGTTCTTATCTGTAAATGTATATACATTTTTTTTACTTTGGTGCTGCTTGAGATTGAACCCAGGGCCTCAAGTATGCTACCTGTGTGCTCTATCACTGAGCTATACCCCTAGTCCTTGTATATACATTTTTACTACCATGTATTATATTTGTAAAAATGCTTCCTTCAACTCTTTCATTTTATCAGTAAAGTCCAACTATTCTATAGGTTTTCATATTTTCCAGGTTTGTAGATTAGGTATTTGGTACTTAAATTTTAGTGTGCATAAATATCAATTGTAAAGCTTAGTTAGAAATGCAGAGCTTGATCCTAACTTATGGAAAGTCTGATTCAGAATGGCTTAAACATTGGAATTTAAAAATAAATTCCACACTGCCAGGTGCCAGTGGCTCATATCTGTAATCCTAGCTACTCTGGAGGCAGAGAGCAGCAGGCTCACAGTTTGAGGCAAGCCTGGGCAAAATAGTTAACGAGACCCTATCTTGAAAGTACCCAACACAAAAAAATGGCTGGTGGAGCCTGCCTACCAAGTGTGAGGCCTTGAGTTCAATCCCAAGTACTCTCCCCCACCCAAAAAAAAAAAAAGTTCCAAACTAGTCTGCATGTAAGAATTTGAGAATGTTGAGTTAGGGGCATAATATGCCTCTTGAAGTCTGCCATCTGTAGGAAGCCACTTCCTATAATATGCACCATTTGATAATTATTTTATAATTTGTAGGTGAATAGTATCTTAATTTACCATTTAATCATTTTTTACTTAGTTGTTCATTGCCTCTGATTGTAGGAATTATGGAATGAATGATCAATTGCTAAAACATTTTGCCTCTAATTTAGGCTTCTCAAGAAACTTATGCATACTTTTGTTTTCATATTTGTCCTCATCTTTAAAATTTTTAAAAAAATGAATTTTAAGGGCTGAGGAAAAAGGGTTTCCTTGAAATTTGCCTCTACAGTGGTTAACTTCCTGTATTTTCTCCTGTTAATTACCTACCACAATATATGACATAATTGTGCCATCACCACAGTCAGTTTTAGAACATATTCATCAGCCCATAAGGAAACCCTGTTCCCATTAACAAGTCACTCCCTATTTACCCTACCTCCATCCCCTGGCAATCACTAATTTGCCTTCTGTTCTGAATATAATGTAGAATTGAAATCATATAGTATGAGGTCCTTTGTGACTGGCATCTTTCATTTAGTATAATGTCTTCAGGTTCATCCGTGTTGCAGAAGATACCTATACTTACCCTTTTTAGGAATCAATAATATTCCCTTTTGTGGATTTCCCACATTTTATCCATCCATTTGTTGAGAAATATTTGGGTTGTTTCTACTTTTTGATTGTCATCACTATTTCTCTTGTGAACAGTCATATACATTTTTATATGGACATATATTTTGTTTTCTCTTAAGTATATACCTGAGAGTCAAATTGCTGGTCACTCTTGAGAAAATGCCAGACTGTTTTCCTAAGTAACTGTACCATTTTACATTCTCAACAATGGTTGTATGAAGGTTTCTTTTTTTTTGCACATGCTTGCCAACACTTACTTTTTGGGTTTTTTCATTTTAGTCTTATTAATGGGCAGGAAGTGGTGTCTCATTGTGGTTTTGATTTGCATGTAGATTTTGTGACCGATGATGTTGCATATCTGTTCATGTGCTTATTGGCCATAATTGGTAGAAATGCAATGTGGGATTCATGTATAATTTAAATTATTCTAGGATTTGGCTCAAGTGGTAGAGCTACCCCCCCAAAAAAAGAATCAAAATAAAATGTTCTAGTGTCATTAAAGATGGGGAGACAGAAAGAGTCAAGATTTCATGCCAGTCTAACTTCTTAAAATTAAAAAGAAGTTTAATCTCTCTTATTCTCTTAGCATCTACTGATTTTAAGATATAAAGTATTTCACAGTGTTTTCAGTACAGAAAATTAATAGTCTTTACTTTCAAAAAGACTTTAGATGTAAATGTTAGCATACTATGTGTTGTACCTCAGTCTTATAAAAATGGAATAAAATGGATATATTTTATTATTATATAAATATTATATATTTTAATTAAACACCAGTACTTCTTACCCACTTCTTTTAGCACGATATGTTGCTGTGCTTTCTTAGAGTATGTAGAGATGGCCGTTCTATCAAGGACTTTTAATAGTTGAGAAAATATGATATGAGTCTAAAAAGAGAATTACAATTCTAAAAGCAAAGTGAAAACTGTAAAGCTACATGTGTGGCACAATGACTATGCTATTTACAAAAACTAGACTGAATCTGTGTAGGGAGAGAAAACCTGTAAGTAAATAATCTAGATATAAATAATTGCATATATTTAAGTTATAAGAATGTTGATTTTTTCCTTCTATTTCTACTTTAGAAAAATTAGCAAATATGATTTTCTAATAGAAAAATTTATAGAAATTTATAATATATAATATATAACACATAAATTAGAGAGCATTTCTAATTTTTCTGTAATGGAAAAACTTATAGAAATTTAATTTGTAGTAGCTATAAATTAGAGAAAATTAGAAATACATAGAAAAATTAAAATATTTTATAAGTAAGTAGATCCAAATCTACTGAGAGTTTGTGACCTTATAAAATACTTTATATCATAAATATTCTTTGTTTATAGTAAACAGTGCTTGAGATGTGTTTCACACTCTCATTAGGAAAACAGTTATATAACCATATTGATTTTAGGTTTTAGTAAGTATCATTTGTATTTTGTTTGCCAACATCTGTTCTCAAAATACAAGCTGAATACATGAATATGCATTTTGTTCACTAATCATATACAATAAATATGTGATTCTTTTTTTCCTCATAGAAATCTATCAAACGTGGAAGAAATTGGAACTTGCTCTTATATTAATCATGTCATCACCATGACAACACTCTATATTCAGCAAGTAGGTGTGAACTAGTATACTCTTTTTCATCGCTTTATTAACACTAACTGTTTTTTTAAATATTATATTTAATATAGTTAAATGCATTCAGAGGAGGTAATAAATGAGAAGAGAATTAAAATTGCCATTGGGTAATCTGTTTCAGAAATCTACACATACTATCTAAGAGTGGACAAGTTGCTGTTAATATGTTATTTTAATTTAAAGGCTGAAGTGTTTTATGTCTTTTAAATGACACAGCTTGTGATTTTATGTACTTAATTATTTGTCATTGCATATCTTACTGAAAATTTAATATTTTTCTTTTTGATACTGGGGTTTGAACTCAGGGGCTATGCCTCAAGCCACTCCACCAGCTCTTTATTTTTGTGATGGGCTAGCTATTTGCCTGGGCTAGCTTTGAACCGTGATCCTCCTGACCTCTGCCTCCTGAGTAATTAGGATTATAGGCATGAGCCACCAGCACCCAGCAAATTTAATATTTTTCTAAAGATATTTGGCTATCTATTTTAAACTTATCCTAGGAAAAATTTAAAATTTAGGAGACTCTATGAAGTTTACATGATTAAATGCATCTTTCAGACTCAGGGGAAGTTACATTTGTTTTAATAAAAATTGTTTATTATTCGTTAATGAATGAGTCATGTCTTTAATACTATATTTAACCTTATTTTTAGTTAAAAAGCAAGAAAAAAGAGAAGGAAATGGCAGATCAGTCATCTTTGGAAGAATTTGTGATTCATGCATTGGCATTTTGTGAAAGTTTATATGATCCATACAGGAATTGGAGACATAGAATTTCAGGGTATGTCTCATAAATTATAATAATCATTTAAAATTTGAATGTTATCTTCTATGTGATTTTTCAAAGACTGTCTTCTCTATGAAAGCAATTTGGAAGCATGTATAAGACCCACAGATTTAACTCTGAAATAGAGAACTATGTTAGAGGTAATGAATTAGCAATAAATGCTACTTTCAGATAGTATAATGTACTCTGGATTTGTATTTTGGATGTTTGAATACTGACAATTTAATAAGAAATATTAAAGGCACAGTAATATCAGATAGAGTACACATATTTTTCAAGAGAAGTGTTCTTGTTTAAAAAACAAGGGTTGTGAATTCAGCTTGGTATGCAAGACCTTGCATTTGATCTTCAGTACTCCTATCCTCCAGTAAAAGCCACAGATATCATATTTTGAATATGCTTTTTAGCAATATTTTGTCCATTTAAAAATTAATCAATTTATTTTTGTCGTACTGGAGACTGAACTGTTCGTTTATTTTTAATTGTGAGCATGTGTCAGTCAAACTTCAGTCAGGAAAACAAAAACCACAATAGATATTCAAAAAGAAAGAATGTAATGTTCGGCATATATTAAACAGATAGAACCAAAAAAACAAAGTGGAATACTGCGATAATACAGAGATAGTGACCTCAGAAAACAGTTACCTTCTTTAGAGAACTGTGGGAACAAAGGGAAGATATTGGAGATATTGGAACCTAAATATTGATCGAAGAGGCCCTATAGCACTTGGGCTTAGGTGTCTGCAGAAGGTATTGCTTAGCTGATGCTGGTATTGCTGACGAGTCCTAGGAGAGGCTGGTCCTTTGACTGTTAAAATAAGCTGAAGGCAGGAACCAACTGCCATTGCTTCAGTTAAGAACTGTTGCTGTGTCCATGTTGGTAAGTATAGCGAAAAAGAGGAATATGGAACCAGTTTATTCTTCACTCTTTGTTCTAGCCTCTATCTAGAACCTATTGCTACAGAACCCTAAAGGGAGGCTGCTAGAAAAAAAAGGAACAGTTTGCAAAGTGTCTGCTCCAACTTCAGAAAGCAGAGAGAATATAGAAGGGTGGGTTTGTAGCATAGTGACAATAGCTTAATTACCAGTAAAGAGCTGAAAGAGAAGAGTTTTAAACTCATGTGTAATTCTTACTTCTGGGTAAGAATTACATCATCACCGTCATTCAAACCTCTTTTTGGCTTCCCATATCTGCTCAAGAGTTTTCCATCTTTATTTTCAATTTAATGTGACCCACTTATAACTAATTCTCACTTTTTTTGGGGGGAGGGGTATTGCAGTTTGGACTCAGGGCTTTGTGCTTGACATTCAGGCACTCTTAACACTTGAGCCACACCCCAGCCCTAATTCCCATTTCTTGCAGCACAATTGCAACATTTTATTACTAAATGGTTTCTATAGTCTGTTCAGTTTCCAGGATAGTGTACCTTCACTTTGAATAGTTACCCTTAGATGATAGTGAAGAGTTGCTAACAAAATACCTATATAGATTACATGGCAACACATTTTGTATGTTCTATATAGTAATATAATACTTTATTGAAATAAGAATACATCTCTGTTGAGGGGATTGATAAAGATGGTGATCCTAGGCTACAAAATTTCAATTAGGAGGAATAAGTTTAAGAGATCTGGTTTTACAACATGGTGACTTTAGTTAATAACAATGCATACTTGCAAATTGCTAAAGATAGCAATTTTTAAGTTGTTTCCATTACCAAAAAGTATGCAAGGTAAAGCATTTGTTAGGTCAATTTAGCCATTCTTGAATATATACATATTTTAAAAGATACTATTGTGTATCACAAGTGTATATGTTTTCTTAAAATTAAAAATACATTCTTTAGTTAAGAAGTAAGAAATACAAATAACAGAACATGTATACCCCACTTATTTAATACAGCAGTCTTCTCTGCATATTTTAATATTTACGTTACACCTTGAGAAAAGTTGTCTGTGTTAGTTGTGGGCCTCTAGAGAAACAGAACCACATAACCAGTGGGATATGTGTGAGGAAGGGGCAGGGGATATTGAATTGCTATAAGAAATTGGCTCACATCATTATGGAAGCTAGCAAGCCCAAATCTGCACTGTGGGTCAGCAAGCTTGAGATCCAGACGAGCCAATGGTGCAGCTTCAGTCTAAAGGGTGGCAAGTAGACACTCAGGAGAGGTACAAATAAAGTCCCAAGGCAGTCTGCTAGAGAATTCCCCCGTGTTTCAGTAGGAGAATGGAGGGAAGCAATCTAATCTTTTTGTTCTCTTCAGACTTTGAATTAATTGGATGAGACCTGTTCACATTGTGGAAGACTATATGCTTTACACAAAGATCACAAATTTACCAATTAATCTTTTTTTTTTTTTTAGATGGGTTCTCATTATCTTTTTGCTCTGACTGGCCTTGAACCATAGGCTTCCTAGTCTCCACCTGTATAGTAGTTGGAATTACAGGCATGAGCCACTGAGCCTGGTCTACCAGTTAGTCTTACCCAGAAACATCTTCCAAGTTAATAAAATTAATCATCACATTGTCTTAAGACTTCTTGATTATTTATTAATGGGAAGGTACTGAGGACCTTTTGAATGCTTCTATTGAACGTTAGTATGTTTCTTTTCCCCAAGAGAAAGTCTTTGAATTTTCTTTGACAGTGGTTTTGTATTAGAACAGGCTAAATTATGCTGCAGTATCAGACAAGATGTTTTGAATAATGAAGATTTATTTCTTATTCACTGCTTGTTGTGGGTAGATAGGGAACCTCTACTTATCCTAGTCACTTAAGGTCCCAAGTTGACAGAACAGCCAACATCTTAAGCTTTGCTAGTTACCATGTGAGGAAAGAAAGTGCTGAAAGTCTCATGTTGGCAGTTTAACACCTTGTCTGCTCATCCACATGCCACATCATTTTTATTCTGAACGCTGGCCAGAACCAATTCCCTGTCCTCATCTATCACAAAGGGACCAAGAAGTTCATTTCTATCTTTTGATGAGGAGAGCTGTAGAAATGGAAATGATTGGCAGACAGCATCGTGATGACCTTTTGTCTCTGCCTATGTACTGCTTTTTACTCTTTAAATGTACGGAGAGGCACATAACATACATTTTATTTATAGGCTTTATACTCACCACTTTGGTTCTCAACGAACCAATGTTCACTGTGTTTTGACTTATATGCTAGAGATTTTGCAAAGAAAGGTGTATTTCTCCCCAATACTGCCATTTCTCCATCTTTCACCTTTGTCTTGTCAGCAGTGGTAAATCTAAGAAAGCCCAGTTTCAAAACAGTAACATTGAATTTTTCTTTACAGACTGTAAGGCGGATACTGAAAGATGAATCAGTCTGAAAATGACAGGCTTATAAAGAAATCCTTAAAGAGCAAAACGAAGACTGGGGATATAGTTCAGTGGTAGAGCACTTGCCTAGCATGTGCAAGGTCTTGAGTTTGATTCCCAGCACCTGAAAAATAAGAGCAAAATTAATTTAAATATGAGGAAAGGACAGAAGTTTTATAAATAAGGTAATTCAGATTATGAATTAAAGTAAATAACATTGGCAATTGAAAACAAACGTAATATTAAAAAGCTAAAAATAAGAAATCTGGGCTATGGAAACGGTTCAAGTGGCAGACTACTTCCGAGCAAATGCAAGGCTCTGAGTTCAAATTCTAGTACTGAGAAAAAAGAAAAAATTTAAATAGTGTAACATCATATAGAACATGTAAGATGTACATATGTAAGATGGCCAGAGAAAGATGAATGAAGTAGATGATAATCAATGGCATTTGATAAATGCATGTGATATATTTGCCAGGAATTATACTTGAAGCTGTCTGTGTATTATCCCTAATGTGCATAACAAAGTCTTGCTAGTAATATGAGGTAAATGGTAAAACAAAGGATTCAGACTTGAGTTTGACTTTGACAGGAAGATTTAATCATAGACAGGAGAAAGTCATTGTTCTTGGAAACAAAAGATCTATACCAATAACTTATATCAAATATATTATTCTGTGAAGTTAAATGGAAATTTAGGATATACTATTCATTGTGCTTGTTACTTACTAAACAATCAGATAGACCAGATTTAACTAAAATTAATACAATCCCAAACACAAAGCCATTTAAAATTATATTTCTTTTATTGTTTGATTAAATAAACCATACCTCATATAATTTAATTTAATAGGAAAATCTTTCCTTAAAATGACTTGTTCATGCATTCAGATCATTCATAACAAAGAGAAAATGTGCAAAATAAATGACAAACATTTGGGGCGAATGTTATCACTGAAATTGAATAAACTGTATTTGATGTTCTGTATACTATTGTTTTCTTTGAGACAGGGTATTGCTATGTAGCTCAAGCTGGCCTGGAATTCTCTATCCTCCTGCCTCCACTTCCCAAGTGCTGGAATTATAGGCATGAGCCACCATGACCTGCTATATTACTCTTGTTGCAATCATTGCAGAGGCCTGGATTTATTTCCAAATAAAAAGTTAAAAAGAGAAATGATTATGTCTTAAGCATGATGGAAGCACAAAAAAGAAACATGGCTAAATCAGCCAGTGGTCATGAACTTAGAAAACCAAGATGCAAATGAATGTTTTGCAGCCCTCTCAGAAACCAGTTGATATGTATTACCATCTGCCAAGTACTAATACATTTGGCCCAAATGGAGTAATAATAGAGCAATCAAGTTGGCTGTGTTCTAAAAACAGTACAAGACTAAAACTCATTTTTTACTTTTATATTAACTTTTTGAAACCATGAAATACAAACTAGTAACACTTTTTGTGTTCTAATATATAATCATTCTTATCCCTTCATTGTCATAGTAAATTTTTATGACAAACATGGAAATGATGTTCAGAGTTAACATCTAATACAGGGACTTTAGAATAAGTCCTTCATTGATCACAGATTACAGAAGTACATTTTCACTATATTTATCACAATAAAGTGAGCATGTTTATTGTTTATAGTACAGGTCGCTTAGATAAGGTATAATCAGTCTAATAACTTATACCATAATTAAAAATAAATGCACAAAATGGAAATAATCCCATGGAAAAAGCTAAATGAAAGCTAAATCAAATTTTATTGTTTTAAAATTAATTTTTTGCCACAAGACTGAAGTTTTTATTTGAAATTCCAGTAAATTTTGTAATGTCATATAGACATGAAAAATTTCTGATAATGTTCTTTTTTTGTTTTTAAAGATTTGATAATGTTCTTAAGAGGAAGATCTAATAATGTTCTGAGATGTTCTGTTTGAAATTAAATACATAAAATACGATTTTTTTATGCCTTCAACACTTGGGGAAAAGGCATAGATTTGGAAAGCTGTGCAGTAGGAAATGATTGATGTGATTTCTAATGAATCAGGATATTAGGTCTGGACCTTAGAACTCTTTATTTTGCCATCAGTGAGTCCACTTGTACTTATGCTGTTTGTCTAATTCTATGGCCAGCTGGCTTTTCTTCCTAGCTTTGAATTATAAGGAAAATAATTTGAGTAGCTCAGTCATGGTCTTTAAGAAGAAGTCATCTTGCCAGGCATGGTAGTACATACCTATAATCCCAGCATTTCAGGGGCTGAGATAGGAGGGTTGCAAGTTGTAAGCTAGTCTGAGCTACATAGTAAAACCCTGTTTGAAATAATAAATATATATAAGAAAGAAAAAGGGATAGAAAAAGCATCTTAAACCAATGTAGATTATATTTAGATATACAGAATTTCTAGGTAGCTGGTTTAGATATTTCTCACTTTTATTTTTTTCTAATTATGTCCAGTGTTAGTTGGCTCTTGCCTATAATCCTAACTACTTAGCAAGCAGATACTGGGAGAATTTCAGATTGAGGCCAGCCAGGGCATGGAGTTTACAAGGCCCTACGCAATGGCATGTGCCTGTCATTTCAAGCTTCATGAAAGTAGGGTGGAAGTTACAGGGTAGCCTGGGAAAGATAGTTTGCAAGACCTCATCTCAGTGGAAAAAAATTGGGCCTGGCGGTGTGTACCTGTCATCCCAGCAAAGGTGGGCAGCCTGAGAAAAAAAGCAAGACCCTATCTCTAAGGTAACCAGGACACATATGGCTAGAGGAGTGGCTCAAGAAGGAGAGCATCAGCCTTGCAAGTGTGAAGCCTTGAGTTCAAGCCCCAGTACCACCAAAACAAAACAAAAAACATAAAAAGCTTAGTTTTTTTTAAGGCATGAAAGAATTCCTGTTTTTTGTTTTTTTAGAATTTTCCCATTCCACCAGTTGAAAGTATCTTTGAAATAGTAGTCTTTATTCTTCAGTCTCCATACCATCATGTCCATTTAAGAGGTTCATTTTGCATTGAACTGAAAATATTCTGGTAAAGCACATGCAATTTGTGTTGATATTACCAAAGTATAGAAAACATCAAAACTCCTGAAATTTTCATTAGAGATAATCCCAGTTTGTATTGAAGTAAATTAATGGTACGAACCAATTGAATCCAGAGCACTTTATGAGAAATTTTATGTGTACTGTAATAATAAACTCACTAGCATTAGCTGTCAGTTTGGCAGTACTGCTGAACAAATTTTCTGTAGATTAAAACTTTTAGGACTAGTTCCATTTTCAATTTCCAGTTCTTTGGAGACTTGATCTGGCTATCATTGTGCATAATTTAAAAGAAATCTTTTAATTGGTGAGCACTGAAGTTACTGGCTTGACTTCCTTTTCAAGATTATGCCAATCCTGGAGATGTAATGTTTAATACACAAATCAAAAGTAAAGTGTTAAATTTGTTTCATAGTTTTTGTAGTTGTGGCTTCTCTACTTGCCCATGATATAATTTGTTTTTAACTTCTTTTTAACTATAGACGAATCCTTAGTTCTGTGGAAAAGAGCAGACAGAAATTTAAACCAGCTTCTCTCACAGTGGAGTTTGTTCCTTTCTTTTATCGTAAGTAACACACTAATTCATTTTACTTTGATTTTCATCTTACTCTGGTTACCCTTTTTTTTTTATCTTACTCTGGTCTTAATTCAGTTTTGTGAATTTATAAGATTAGGTGAGTAGTTGGTTTGTGTTTGGTTGTGATTAATTTACTGTTTTTCTAAGCTGATTCTTTTTCTTTTTTGGTGATCTGCACAATTTAATGATAATTATATATTTTAGAACCTCACTAAAAATAGCAAACTTTATTAAAAATAGCAAAATTGGCTGGGGAATCTAGCTCAGTGGAAAACATGTGCTTACCATACACAATGCCTTGGGTTTGATCTCCAGCTCCTGGCAAAAATCCCCAAACCAAACAACAGCAATAAAAACCAGACACAGCCTTGATGTATGTGACTTATATGGGCTGTACTTTTCTGTCTTAAAAAGTGAGTATGCCATATTTTAAGAATACAGAAAAATTAGCAAAATATTAAATGGAACACTGTGTTGTGTACATTGCCTACTTAGATTTATCAGTTCTTAACATTTTTTCCATATTTTCTTCAGTTCTTTTTCCCCCCTGTGAAATAAAATAAGAAAGAATAATCCTTTGTTTTGCTTAGGGAAGATTGCATGCCCACTGTGTATAACCACCAGTAGTGATACTAGCTTTGACTGGATAATCAGATACCCATATCCATAATAAGCCTTGCTTAGACTTGGCCTCACCTAGAAAATGTAAGACCATAAATTCAGTATGTCAGTATAACAGTATAAATTATTTTTGTTCAACTGGAGTCCTTGTAGCTGTCCAAGGGGGCTGCTGTTTAGTCCGTTCAGTGAAGTTGTGAGACCAGATTGGGGGGTATAGAATCCCAAAGAAGCCTTGCATGACTATACATGTTTTTTGTTAATTTATATCAGAGTATTTTATGTTTTTTTGCTTTGTAAATGACTTGTTTTTTATTGTATTTTTCTAATTGTTTCTTAGTATATAGAAACAGTTTGGTTTTGTATATAGGAACAGTTTTTGCATATTTTAAATTCTGTGGCCTTGATAAATGAATCCACTTAAAAATTATAGTAACCTTTATGTTATTCCTTAGGGTTTTATATGTATACTGTCATGTCATCTGCAAAACAGACCATTTTACTTTGCTTTTCCAAACTGTGTGCCTTTTTATATTGTTGAAGTGGTAAGAGAAGACATTCATGCCTTGTTCCTGCATGTACAGGAAAACCAGTCTTTCATCTTTAAGTTAAAGTGTTACCTATAGGTATTTTTTATTGAAGCATTTTATTAAGCAAATGAAATTTTAATATGAATAGATATGGACTTTTCACTGCATCTGAAGTGATAATATGTATATGTACACACAACCTTCAAGTTTGTTAATTGGTGAAATACATAGATTTTTTTCCCCTGGTAACCTAATATTGCATTGTTGAGCTAAACCATCTTTGTTATGATTACATGATTATTTTATGCTTTTTATGTGGTACTGAACTTAATTTGCTAATATTTTGTTAAAATTTTTGTATCTGTATTCAGGCAGGATAATGAGTCTAGTGTTTTTTTCCCTTGTTATATCTTGTATAGTTTTCGAATCAAGGTAATTGTTCTAGTCTGCTCTGGCTGCCATAATAAAATAGGATAAACTGGGTGACTTAAATATCATAAATTTATTTCCTTACAGTTCTGGAGGCTGGAAAGTCCAAGATCAGGGTTCTAGCAGGATTGTATTTGTGATGAGGTCTCTTTTGAGACTTTTAGGTGGTTTCCTTGGTCTTCTTGTATGTCCTCATATATTGAAGAGACTAGTGTCTCTTTTTCTTTTTATAAGAACATCAGTTCTATAGGATCAAGACTTCACTTTTATTATCTCATTTAACCTTAATCACCTTCTCAAAGGCCCTGTCTCCAATACAGTCACAAGGGGATGAGAGTTAAGACTTTAATATATGAATTTTTGGGGACACAGTTCTATCCATATTATTCTGCCCCTAAATCCCTCCAAAATATATCTAATGTATTTTGCACATATTTATCACATGCAAAATACATTCATGCCATCAAATGTCTTAACTCATTCTAATATCAACTCTATAAAGTCTAAAGTCCAAAGTTTTACCGAAATATCGCTTACATTAGATATGATCGAAACTCAAAGTACAATTACTATGAGTCAAAATTCTTTTCCAGCTGTGAACCTGTGAAACCAGATAGTTATATGCTTCCAAAATACAATGCTAGGTCAGGCATAGGATAAACATTCTCATTCCAAAAGGAGAAATTAGAAGGGAAGTCCAAAACTTGTTAAGACAGCAAATTCTATTAGACTTCAAGGTTTGAGAATAATCCTCTTTGGTTCAGTAGTCTTCCATCATTGGAATGTCAGTGTTATCCCTTCCAGATCTGTAGGACATTCTTGCCCTTCTGCTTTCTCTCAGGACCTCACTCAATATGGCTGTCTTTGAGGGAAGCCCTGCCCCTGAGGCTCTGAGTTGGGTCATCCTGACCCACTGAAATCTAAGAAGTGATCCCAACCTTTGACACTTAGGAGGAGGAAGTAGCCTTGTCCTATGGGTCTGTGATGGGATTGGCCTTCTTTATCTCTAAATTGCCTTCACATTCATTCATTCTTTCCTTTCCTTGAAGAATGGCACATATTCACAAGGAGTAACTGTATGGTATGGTCCTATAGCAACTAAGAAGTCTAGGTGTTTATTACCTTCATTCCTTCCTACTTTCTGTCCCCTTCTGTTCAAAATGGCAGTGTCTTTGCTGGTATAAGCCCATCTCTCTATTGCTGGTCTCTGCTGATATGGCTAATTAAATCCATGAGTCATACCCGTGATTGTGGCTCATCAAATGATTATTCAGTGTTTTCTTTAGAATAAGTATTCTCAAGTTTTGCAATATGGATAGGCTGAGAACTTTGGTTCTTTTTTGCTTAGTAATTTCTTCAATTCATTTTTCCCCTTTCACATTTTACTATAAATAGTCAGGAGAAATCAAGCTGCTACTTCAACGCTTTGCTTAGAAATTGCCTCAGCTAAATATTCACTTCATCACTTGTAAGTTTTACCTTCCAGAAACCATTGGACGTAGTTCAGCTGAGTTCCTTGCCACTTTATAACAAGGATCACCTTTCCTCCAATGTTCAGTAACCTGTTCTTATTTCCATTTGAGACCTTAACAGAATTACCCTAAAGTTCTTAGTATACATTTCTAAACTCCTCTAGCCTCTATCCATTACCCAGTTCCAGAGCTGCTTCCACATTTTTAGGTATTTCTTATAGTAGCATTCTGCTTCTTGGTACTCAAATCAGCATGCTCAGGCTGACATAACAAAATACTATACATAGATTGGTGGGATGATGTTAGTTTTATTAATTGAGGTGAACATTGTCTTCTTTTCCTCTCTTTTCTGTGAGAGTTGGTTTGAAATTTCTATTACCATTTCCTTAATATTCTCTAGCAAAGCAAAATGTGCTACAGTTTACTTTGTGGGAAAGTTTTAAATTGTGGAGCCAATTTATATACTAAATATAGGCTATTCAAATTTTTTATTTCTCTGTTTTTATAATTTGTGTCTTTCAAATAATTTGTGTTTTTATCTATGTTTAATTTATTGACATAAAGTTGTTATGTTTATTATCTTTTCAAAGTCTGTAGGATCTGGATTGATGTCATCTCTTTCATTCTCATATCAATAGTTTGCATTTTTTCTCTCATCTTTTCTTGATCAGTCTAGCTAGAGACTATGAAGGAAGATGACTACAATGTCTCTAGATGGTAGGAATTTTTTAGCTCTATTGTAATCTCATAGGATCACAGTTGTATATGTAGTCCCTTGTTTACCAAAATGTAGTACATGACTATATTTAGAGTTAGCCTGTTGGGCTCAGATGGTCCCAGTTTTGTTCACAGCATCCAAAGCATCATAGTCAAGAGCCAGTAGAACATATGACTTTTTCTTTCCATTAGGCCTGATTAGGGTGTTGACTGTGGCCATTTCAATGTCATAGAGTTCCTTCACAGACTGTTTGATCTGATGCTTGTTGACATTGACGTCCAAAAGGAACACAAGTGCCTTACTTTTTCATGGGTAACTTAGTGTTGGCATAGTGATCAAGCTTATTTCTTTTGGGAGTGCTCTTCTGAAGATACTTGGGTTGTCTTTGGGACTACAGTGTCTTGGACTACCAAAGATGGGTGATTTGTGATCTTTTTTTGTGACTGTGGATACTTTCCAACACTGCCATCAATGCCTTTGTTTTGGCTCCAGCTTTGGGAAGGAGAGGGGTTGTCTTCACTTTTGGTGTCGTCTTCATGAAAAGGTTCTCCAGATATTTTTATTTCATTACTTTCTAATATACTTTTACCATGGTGAGAGAACATATTGAATTTTATTTTCACACCCTATTTTTTATACTTAAATGTTTCTATGATAATATTTCTTGCATGCTTTGCCCGCTATTAATATAGCACCGCAGCAATCTTTTGGTTAGAGATTACATGGTATATCTTTTTGCATACTTTACAGCTGTTACCCTATTTGTATGTCCACTGTGGCTGACTGGAACTCTAATAGCTATGTGTAAAATCTGAAAATTATTCAGGTTTCAGTGTCTTTGTAGTTTTTTTCCTGTCTTGTGGAATTTCACACTACCATGTAAAGATTGATACTCAGACACAAACTGAGTCCTATGCATATTTCTGGAGCCCTTGGTATAGCTTCCTGTACTCCAGTACTCTGCTTTGCAAATTCTAGTTGCCTGGGCCTCACTGAATATTTGATTTCTGGCTCTTCAGTGTAGCAGATAGCCATGTTCTTTTAGGGTTTCCCTTTTCTGTGCAATAGCTCAGAAAGTCTTCAAACCAGAATCTGACTTGATCTTTGGGTTCACTTTGTTTTCCTTCTCCTGTATATCATGGTTCTCTCACCAAATTTCTGGAACCTATTTTGTCAATTTTTCTAGTTGTTTATAACAGGAAAGTACATGCAGTGCAAGTTACCCTGATACAGCTAAAATGACTTAATTTTTTTAAATTATAAATTTACCTGAAAGCTGTTTGTTTTTAGCTGTGTTTTATATAAAATGGAAATAATTCTGTCATTATAGACTTGTCTAATTGAGTAATGTATAAACAGTTTGTCAGTAGAGAATAAGTAAAGAAATGTGCATCACTATAGTGGTATATGCTTTTTGGTCATAGAAATGAATAAGGCAGATGTATCTGTTAAGATGTAATAATACCCAGATGTAGTAAGTTAGAAGATGAAAAAAGTATGATTTAGTACAGTCAGACCTACATTATCATGAGTTCCATATCTGCAGTTTCAACTAGTAATGTTTTGAAAATACTCAGGAAAAAAAATTGCATCTGAATATGTACAGACTTTTTTTTCCTTGTCAGTATAACAACTATTTATATTCTGTTTACACTGCATTCAGGACTTTAAGGGATCTAGAGATGATTTAAAGTATATGGGAAGACATGTATGGGTTATATGTACCATTTTATATAAAGAACTTGAGCATCCACCGGTTGGATCCCATACCCTGGGATGAGGGTATGGAACTAGTTACCTGCAAATACTGAGGGAAGACTGCATATGTACAGCTTTTTGTTTTTTAAAAAGTAGGGGTACAGAAGAGGAGGTCAGAGGTGAGTTTTTATAAGCAGAGTCAGAATATTCATATATATGGAGAATTACATGAGAATCAAGAACCTAAAATGCTACTTGATTGTCTCCCTCTTCCTTTTCTTTGACAAAATGCTTCTCAGCCTTGCCTTTTGATGCATTTTAACTTTTTTATAAACAGTTCTTCATGTTCCAGTTTTCATATATTCCTTAGAGATGAATCATGTTGTAAAAAAAAATCTTACTTATTTGTCTATTTGTGCATTATATTCACAGAATGTTTTCAGGAAAGTGAACATCTCAAGGAAAGTCTTAAGTGTTGTTTATTGCATCTCTTTGGAGCCATTTTAGCCGGTGGGCAGGTGAGGACAGTGTTGAAAGCTAATATATAAATTTTAGTTAACTGTGCAAAAAGCTTTCCATGGAGTATTTAATGTATCTTTTGTTCTTTTATAACCTCATGAATCATATAAATATTTTTGAATTTATGTCTTCTTTTAAACTGATCTTCTTAATAATCTTCAAAAAAATAATAATACTTACACTGACAATAAAATTACTGGATAAATAACTAGATTTAACAAGGTTTGGTGTTGTGGGCAAGAGGCGTGGCTTAAATGGTAGAGTACCTGCTTTGCAAGTGAAAAGCCCTGAGTTCAAACCCAATTACCACCCACACAAAAAAAACTATATAAACAAATTTTGGTATTGTGAGTTCATATTTATGTTGGTTTTTAGCAACTAGTTCTGACTTTAGAGTATAGAGGAAGTCAGCCCTATTAGTTGATTTGATGAAATCAAATTCTAGCAGTTTCATTTCTAATAACGTGAATTTGGTTATTCTATCTACTTATAATTGCTATAATTGTATAGTTTTACAGCTTTTAATGCATATTTTAACAAATCCAACTAGTTTTTTTATTATTTACTATAAAAATAATTTCTAGTAATTTTTCTAAGTTGTCTCTTGTAAGCTTTGAGTATCACTTCTAGTTGGCAACAGGATTATAATTCATAAAGAATTAGCCATACAGTCCTTTTTTGATTCATGAGCATGATTATTGGGTGTTCATGCCTTTGAGTGACATGTGCCGCCCTCAAATCTTGTTACGACGTGGGCACATTACCCTTCTGACGTAAAAAAAAAAAAAAAAAGAATTAGCCATACAGTTTAGATCAGAGGTCCTTAACCTTTTTTGTGCCACATGCCCCTTGGCAGTTTGATAAAGTCCCTTATCAGAATGTTTTTAAATGCCTAAAATTAAATACTAATATCACAAAGGAAACCAATTATACTGAAATTTAGATAACAGAAATACTGACAAAACAAATTCATTACAAAGTAATAAGTGCTTTTTGTGTGTGTGTTGGGGGTTGAATCCAGAGCCTGCATATCATGGGCAAGCACTCTTGCCTCTGAGGTACATCTCCAGCTCCAATATGTGCTATTTATAACGCATGCAATAAAAAGATACAGCAGTGTGGTTAAGGCAGAAGAATCCCTTGACCCCAGGAGTTTGAGGCAAGACTGAGCAACATAGTCAGACCCTGTATGCTGGGCATGGTGGTGAATGCCTGTAATCTTTGCTGCTCAGGAGATGGAGACAGTAGGATTGCTGTTTAAGGCCTGGCCAGGCAAAAAAGTCAGTGAGATCTCAAAAACAAGGCAAGTATGATGGTGCATGCCTATAATTCCAGCTGCTTGGAAGCAAACTGGGGAGGCTTGCAGTTGGAGGCCATCCCTGAGTGAAAACACTCGAACCCATCTCAAAAAATACTGAAAGCCAAAAGACTGGGATCATGGTGCAAGTGAGTGCATGAGTCCAAGCCCCTTACCACAAAATAAATAGAAGTGTGTAAGTTACTATATTAGTTATATACACTAAGTCCAGTCACTAATTTCGAAGAAGAAACACTTCAACTAACATAAGAAAATGCATATGACTTGGTGACAGAATCAAAACTGTTACTTAAACAATTGTGCTTTATCGCTTACATTTCAATTTGAGGGAAATACTTAATTTCAGTTAGACATTAGTGGAAATAAACATACATATTTTTTTCTACCCAGGCTTATACCCAGGTTTCCCTTCTTTTCACTCAGATTGAAAGTTCTTTCTTCTGCTCAACAAAAGAAATGGTCTCTAAACTGAAGAGACCACCCACAGAGTGGGAGAAAATATTTGCCAGCTACACATCAGACAAAGGACTGATAACCAGAATATATAGGGAACTTAAAAAACTAAATTCTCCCAAAACTAATGAACCAATAAAGAAATGGGCAAGTGAACTAAACAGAACTTTCTCAAAAGAAGAAATTCAAATGGCCAAAAAACACATGAAAAAATGCTCACCATCTCTAGCAATAAAGGAAATGCAAATTAAAACCACACTAAGATTCCACCTCACCCCTGTTAGAATAGCCATCATTAGCAACACCACCACCAACAGGTGTTGGCGAGGATGCGGGGAAAAGGGAACCCTCTTACACTGCTGGTGGGAATGAGAATGTAAACTAGTACAACCACTCTGGAAAAAAATTTGGAGGCTACTTAAAAATATAAACATTGATCTACCATATGATCCAGCAATACCACTCTTGGGGATATACCCAAAAGAATGTGACACAGGTTACTCCAGAGGCACCTGCACACCCATGTTTATTGAAGTACTATTCACAATAGCCAAGTTATGGAAACAGCCAAGATGCCCCACTACTGATGGATGGATTAAGAAAATGTGGTATTTATACACAATGGAATTTTATGCAGCCATGAAGAAGAACGAAATGTTATCATTTGCTGGTAAATGGATGGAATTGGAGAACATCATTCTGAGTGAGGTTAGCCTGGCCTAAAAGACCAAAAATCATATGTTCTCCCTCATATGCGGACATTAGATCAAGGGCAAAGACAATAAGGGGATTGGACTTTGATCACGTGATAAAGCGAGAGAACACAAGGGAGGGGTGAGGATAGGTTAGACACCTAAAAAAACTAGATAGCATTTGTTGCCCTCAACTCAGAGAAACTAAAGCAGATACTTTAAAGCAACTGAGGCCCATAGGAGAAGGGGACCAGGGACTAGAGAAAAGGTTAGTTCGAGAAGAATTAACTTAGAAGGTAACACACATATACAGGAAATCAATGCATGTCATCTTCCCATATAGCTATCCTTATCTCAACTAGCAAAAACCCTTTGTCCTTCCTATTATTGCTTATACTCTCTCTTCAACAAAATTAGAGATAAGGGCAGAATAGTTTCTGCCTGGTAGCGAGAGGTAAGCGAGGGTAAGGGAAGGGGTGTGGGGATGAGGGGAGAAATGACCCAAACATTGTATGCACATATGAATAATATAAAAATTTAAAAAAATAATAAAATAAAATAAAGTTCTTATCTTCCTTTTTTAAACTATTACCTTTTTCTTTAACGGGAAACATTCTCTTACATCAATATACCAATTTTAGTATTAGAGTAAATTACATGTTTAAATTAAAATTTTATTTAAAACCTTAAAAGCTTATGTTTTCAAAAACTTAATTAAATTTTATTTGAAGATATAAACTTATATCAGTAATATTCTAGGGATTTTATGCATTAGCAAGAAATTCTTGTCTATGTATAGGAATATATCATGAAGGTTAATAGTTACGTTGGGTTTAAGAGCCTCTCATGAGCCAGGTACCTGTGGCTTATGCCTATAATCCTAGCTACTCAGGAGGCAGAGATCAAGAGGATAGTGGTTCGAAGGAAAGCCATCTCAGCAAATAGTTATGTGAGACCCTATCTCAAAAAAAGACCCTATCTCAAAAGTCACAAAAAAGGGCTGGTGGAGTGACTCAAGGTGTAGGCCCTGAATTCAAACCCTGGTACTACAAAAAAAAAAAACAGAAAAAAAAAGAGCCTCTCATGGGACTCTTTATTTCATGCCAGTAGGAAATTTAAATGTTATAGCTATAGGAAGTTGTTCTTTATTTGATAATTTCTTTACCATTTCCTATTCTGTTTGGAGATTTGAGACTAATTTTCAGTTTTCAAATAACTCTATGAACAGGTGACTATATATTTTGGTAATCCCTTTTTGGCTACATAGGTTCTCACTATGTAGCCCAGGCTGGCCTAAAACTCACTATCCTTCCTCCTCAGACTTCCAAGTGCTGGGATTACATGCCTGATCTGGTGCACCAAACCCCCCTTTTTAATTAACATGCCCAATTTAAATATGTTTTCTAACATATTTATCTTATAAATAACCTGAGATTAAGGGTTTCCTATCTGCTAGTACTGCTGCAATTCTCCTGTCTTCCTTATTTTTGTCTTCTGTTTTCTCTCTGTATTGTCATTTTTTTCATGGCTCTTGTACTCAATGGACATTTTTTTAAAAATTATTTTTATTCCCACCTGTAACTCCAGAACAATGCTGAAATTTCTTTATTTTTATTTATCCTATCCCCTTTTTTGCTAGCCAGCCACAATTCCTACTTAAGTTTCCAGGTAGACTACATGGCCTTTTCTTCTTTTCCTCAATGGAATATAAGAGTCTTCTTATAATGAGAGAGACAGTGACCTGAATCTTATTTTCCAGCTCAAATTTACCTAGTCATCCTTCTGTATTAGCTAATATCCTTTATTATTTCTTCACTACTGCGAATTAAGAACTAATAAGTATACATGAATGAAAATGGATGTGGTATTGTTATTGAGTAAGGGAGAACCTGCTTAGATCCCATTCTCTTTTTGAACACAAAGACATATTCTTGTTAGTGCCTAGGGGTAATCAGGCCCTAAGAGACCTCAGTACTGAAAACTTAACATGAAAATCAGGGAGATAGTGAAAGCCTCATTCATTAGTTTATGTAGTGAAAGTACTCACAATCCTTATGATGAGGGCATAGCTATTATTAGATTTATATCAAAGTTAGAAGGTTGCTTGTTATGAAATCAGTGTAAGAGAATTAAATGAATTGAATATCTAAAGGCATTAGAGTGATCTTGTTTTAAGAATATAAATGTTAAATTCTAATGACTGGACTCTTTTTTTTCCAGTAGAAAGCATTGACACTGGGCTTTTCCATTGGCATATTTGTCCTTCAAGTCTATGAATACACACAAGACAACCTGTACTGTTTGTGTTAAGAGCAAGGGCTTTGAGGCTGGCCTTGGTTTGAGTCCCATGTCCATGTCAAGCTAGTTGTTTGGCCTTAGATAAATTATTTATATATGTTTTGGTTTATTTGTAATATAGAAGCAGTCATTTGTTTTTCTGGAGGTACTAAATTTAAACTCAGGGCTTAGTGCTTCCTGGGCAGGCTTTTTACCAGTTGAGCCATACCCCCAACCTTTTTTTTTTTTTTTTACATTTACTTACATGTGTATGCACTATTTGGGCCAACTCCCCCCCCCCACACCCCACAGCCCCCTGCCTCCGGGCAGAATCTGTTCCACCCTCTTGTTCTCCAACTTTGTTGAAGAAAAAACAAAGCATTTTTGCTAGTTTGAGGTAAAGATAGCTATACACGGAGATTCTTTGTGTTGTTTCTATGCATATGTGTATTACAACCCAAATTGGTTCCTCTGGACCAGACTGCTTCACTACTTCCTAATCCCCTTTCCATAGTGGCCTCTATCAGTTTAAGATTACTATATTCACTCTATACAGTAAGCGTATCAACCACATTCAAGGTTTTTGTCGACCCGTTTTTTTCTCTGGTTAGTTGGAGATAGGGTCTCTCACATTTTGCTCAGGCTGGCCTGGATTGTGAACATGTAGACGCCACCGTGCCCACTGTTTTCCAATGACATAAGGTCTCACTGACCTGGAACTGCAGTTCTCCCAGTCCCAGCCTCTGGAATAATTTGGGATGACAGGCATGTGACCACTATGGCCAAATTTGTTGAGGTGAGGTCTTGTGAACTATTTGCCTGGGTTGGCCTCGAACCATGATCTTCCTGATATCAGCCTCCCAGGTAGCTAGGATTATAGGAATGAGCCACTGGTGCCTCGCTTGGAAACAGCAATATTTACAGGATAGTTGTAAGGACTATATGACACATAAGTACCTGCACCTTTGTAAATAAATCACAAAAGTGTCAGTTAGATTTATGATTTCTTTTAAGTAGCAACTAATAATAAAATTATGTTACCTTCAGTTAGTTCACTTTTTTCTCTCAATGAAAAAAAGTAGTTTAGTGGTACTGTGCACACTGAGCATGTGCAAAGCTCTAGGTTCAATCCCTAGCACCAAAAACCAACAAACCAACAAAAATCCCAACAAGGACAAAAAAGGTAGTAAACAGATTAACTCTATCATTGTGTTACCTTTACTTTTCTAAGTACGAGATCATACTAGCATTTGGGCACATTTGAGGAGTTATGAGGGAGGCAAATGGCCTGTTTCAACTATCTCTTAAGGAAACAGAAAGGCTGACACTCATTGTCTTTTTGTATTCATTTGCCAGACTCACTCATATGACTCAAAGAAGGCAAATATTTCCAGATAAAAAATTTGATAAAACTTGTTTCTTTGGCTTTCTTAGCAGCAGGGGAGATAAGGAAATGTGATCATTAGCCATGTGTAGCTATCCATATATCCAGGAAAGCATGAAGGGTTCTATTAATAAGGAAAGTAGAAGAGGTGGTTGGTTATATGCCACCAGCAGTTTTTTCCATAATACTTGTTATTAATATATTTATTGATAATTACTGATTAAAACAAGTCATAATGACTTAAGGGCTATTACTTGTAGATGGGTTTTGCATAATTATATTTCATTATACTTTAATTCAACAATCTAAGGCAGTACTTCTTATTTTATGGGTCACCTTAATACAGCTACCAATTACGTAATGTAAGGAGTTTTGGAAACATGTTTGTGGAGTCAAAGCCAAGGTAGTTGTTTTATATACCTAAATCAGTTGAATTTCTGTAACTAACAGAAAAAACCTTAGAGGGTCTTAACCAAATTATAGTCATTTTTATATTCTTGGTTAAGAAATCCAAATGTAGGCAGTGCTGGGCTGGTACAACAGCTCAACAAAATGATCAAGGACAAAGATCTTTGATATTCCTGGTTTGCTCTCTGCAGACTGCTAATTTAATTCATGGGCTTCACTCCTCATGATATAAAGTTGGCTCTAAGCATTATATCTGCTTTCTAGGCTAGAAGAGGGAAAAAAAGAGACAAAGGCAAAGGGTGTTTCCATTTTCATTTGTGAGGTGATAACCCTCTTCGTAGTTTTTTTTCATGTATCCTTGAGCAGAACTGCATTAGTTACCCATAGTTGCAAGGGAGGGTGGAAAGTGTGGTTTTGCTTCGTAGTGAGGAAGGGGAAGACATATATATATATATGTAAAACACTACCAGTGTCTGTCACAGTTTCTATTAAAAATTTTATATGTTAATTTATTAAGAGAAAAAGTTGCCTGTAGACATTAATTCTCTAAGCATATAGAGCCACATTTAGATTTGATTTTGTTTTTATCATTTTTAATGTTTCAGAGGAATGCTTTGCAAGCAATTTCTCCAGCCACCATGGAAGTTCTTATGAGAGTTTTGGCAGACTGTGATTCCTGGGAGGATGGAGATCCTAAAGAAGTGGGTAGGAAAGTAGAACTAACTCTGAAGTGCCTTACAGAAGTAGTACATATCCTTCTCACTACCAGCTCTGACCAGCGTCAAGTGGAAACCAGCGCTATTCTGGAGAACTATTTTAAGTTACTAAATTCAGATCATTCGGCTTTGCCTCATCAAAGGAGGTCCAGGCAATGGGAAAACCGGTTTATTTCTCTACAGATCAAAATGCTGAGTAAGTATTTGATAAAGACCGTTTTCTATTTTTTTGCTTTTGTATATCTCACTTTCTTTTGAAATACAGGGTTCAGTGTATGAAAAGTGTTGATTGCTTAATTCAGAAAACGTGACTATTTAGTTTTTACTTTCAAATAATTAATACAGAATTGATGTCTGCAACTTCACTTTACAATGCACAGTCAAGTTTATGTTCTTTTTTGAAAGTGTAGTCCATTGAAAGTATGAATGCTAAAAGGAAAGTTAACTATGACTTCAAATTTCTAGGAAAAGTAATTTTCAGAAAGTGCCATTTATAGTATTTTACATAGGATAGAAATTAATTTGGTATATCCTTCTATAACATTTCTGTTCTGTAAAAGTCACTTCAACATCTGTCCTTCCTCTAGAGGGCCTTTGCTTTTTGTTTTTCCTCAGAGCCTCTATCATTGTTCCTCTTTCCTCCTCTTTGTGTTGGTTGTTTTGTGTTACTCTACCTCTCTCTCTTGGTCTGCTCTGCAAGTCCCACAGCAGTATATATGATTTTTTTGTTGTATTCTTACATTAGATTGTTAATGAACTATCAGTTAACAATATTTATATTTATTATAGAAGTAAAATATTGTCATTACAGCTAAGCTAGGAAATTCAGATAAATGAAAAGGAAATAAAAATTCTTTATATGCTACCACCTAGATATAACCAACTTTAATGATGTGGTATATAGATTCATATGTGTGGTGTCAATTTAGAAATAATGGCCATCAAAATCTTGTCAAAAATGATCCATTGCAATATTTGTTTCTGTAGGAAAATAAGAATAACTTTGTATAGTTCTTTCATTTTATCTGTTATGTCATGTCACCTTATTCTAAACTGTAAGTTTATCAGTAAGTTTGAGTCTGTATTGCATGGACGTTATGTTTAGAAACTATGGTATTGTCTATGCCAGATGTCCTTTGATTTCTGGATTGAAATATACCTTCAGTAGGAAATGAGAACAAAATGTTATAATCATTTTCAGGGCCCATGTGTTAATTTTATAGTGTCTACATGAGACTGTTTCCAAACACAACTTGCTTATTAAGAGGAAGTTGGACACAATAGTTGGTTAGACTTGAGTATTATGATAGAAGAGCAACTAAATAAATCTCTGTGAAATACATGTCAGTCATATAAAATTTAAACATTTTAAATTATGAAGTATAAAATGTTCACTTTTCCTATCAACTAATAATTACACTTGTGTTTTCTGTTCTTCATCCATATTATTTCCAAATTAACTTATATCTGTTCTGTCAACTGAAAATTCTAAATTTAAAATAATTGTAGAGTAATTGTATGATCCCAAATGCTTACTTTTACCTGAATGATTTTGTTCGTATTTTTCTAGATACTATCACAGCCATGTTAGACTGCACAGATAGGCCTGTTCTTCAGGCCATTTTTCTTAACAGTAATTGCTTTGAACATCTCATACGACTGCTGCAGAACTGCAAGGTACTGCTCTATTGTTATTTTTGTCTTTGATTTTAGGAAACTTTTGTTTTTCCTCAAATTTGAGCATGCTCTTGCCAAATTTTATTGTTAAATTAAAATTTTTACTGCATTTAATTATATAATCAAGTCTTATCTTGATTGAAATTAGTATTTGTAATTGTCTAAATATGTTAAGGATAATAAAACTATAAACTACTTTCTTTATTAGATGAGTATTTCACTTAAGGAAACATTTTATTTTTCATTTCACCCTGGCATAAACTTGAGATGCTTCAGAGTCATTAGTTGCTTCTGATTTCTTAGCTAACTCTGTATAGCATACTAAGACAGTCAAGATTTTGCCTGTAAATTTTTGAAAAACAATTCAGTTTGAAGTTCTGTCTTCTATCAGCGTGGAAATCTAACTCCAAATTATCTACCCTATGCATGCATGTTACTGACAGTAGGGAGTGTTAGATGACACATGTGGATTACAAATCTATTACTCCAACTCAAATTGTATGTCATTGACTAAGATTTTTGTATAAGAAATAGGATTTTAGTTAACTAAAATGATCTGCTTAACAAGTATTTATTTTATGTATCACCTATGTGTTAGGTACTGTCCTCAGGCTATTGATTTAAACAAAACAAAACAAAAAACCTGCCCTTGTTGGCACCAGTGCCTCACATCTGTAATCCTGCCTACTTGGGTGGCTGAGGTTGGGAGGATCCTGGTTCAGGCTAGCCTGGCCAAAAAGTTCTTGAGACCCCATCTCAACTAGTAGGTGGGCATAGTGGCACAAGCTATGTGGGAGGCTGAGATCAGGAAGATCAGGGTTTGAAGCCAGCTTGGTCAAAATGTTTGGGAGACCCTACCTCAATGGAAAAAAGATGGACATGATGGCATTTGTCTGTCATCCCAGTTACGCAGGAAGCATAAATAGGAGGATCACAGTCCAGGCTGGATTTGGTAAAAACCCAGATCTTATCTCTAAAATAGCCAGAGCAAAAAGGGCTAGAGGCATTCATGGTTCAAGTGGTAGAGCATCAGACTAGTCAGTATGAAGCCCTGAGTTCAAATCCCAATACTGCCAAAAAGCAAACCCTGCCCTCTGGAAGCTTACATTTTGGTTATAGACAAAACAATAAGAAACCAAAAACTATATGGGAGATCAGATATGGTAAATGCTATAAAGATATACTGGATAAAGGGCTAGAATATTTATAGGAGAAGACACATACTGCTTTTGTATTATAGATTGATTAGGAAAGAGTCTCAAGGGAACATTTGAGCAGAGATACTTAGGAAATGAGTGAGCTGAGCTACACAGATATCAGAGCATCCCAGTCAGAGAGAACCCCAAAGTTCCTGAAGTGGAAGCACTCTGAGTATGTTTGAGGAATAGTAGACTGTGTGTCTAGAGATAAAAATCATAGAAGAAGGAGTCAAAGCCTAAATTACATAAGATCTTATAGACCATGGTAAGACCTTTGGAGACTTTTTTACTAGTAAGAAGTTTACATTGATCACTGGCAATGGGAAATTAGAAGATTTGAGTTTAAGATAAGGCTTGAACTTTGTTTTCAAAGATTGCTGTGAACTGAATGTGATGGTACATGCTTATAGTCCTAGCTACTTGAGAGACTGAGATAGGAGGATCACTTGAGCCCAGGAGTTCAAGACCAGGCTAGGCAACATAGTGATACCCCTTCTCTTTAAAAAAAGAAAAAAAAAAGGAGGATCGCCATCAGAGGCTAACCCCACACAAAAATGAGATATTCTGTCTGAAAATTTAACGAAAGCTAAAAAAGGACTGGGGGTATGGCTCGAGAAGTAGAATGTCTACCTAGAAAGTGCAAGACCCAAGTTCATACCCAACAACTGAAAAAAAAAAAGATTACCTTGACTATTGTATGGGAGAGACCAGATAGGAAATGATTAGAGATTTTAGGCCAGAATTGAATATGACTAATAGCTTTAACTGTGATCTTTATGACCAAATTATAAATTATGCTTACATTAAGTTATTAGAGGGTATTTGGGTTTTATAAGCTTTGGTTTTGTTTGTTTATTAATGTATTTGCTTATTTATTTGTGGTGGTACAGGGTCTCATGCTTGCTATGCAGGCATTCTACATAATCATTGAAAAATAATCATTCATATTGTAATTCTGGAAGAGGTATTAACTTCCATCAGTAATGACAAACCTCTGGCTTACTAAAAGTCACTTCTCAGATGAACTCATTTTTTTAAGTCAAAATTTCAACTTCATTAAAATTCAAGTTTTGCTTATCTCTTACTTGGTTCTCATTAAAACTAAATTGAAATAATGTATACAAATACTTAACTAAAAGAAAATGAGGAAATGGTATGGTGAGGGTATTTTTTTTTCTTAAAGTTTGCCTTTTACAAAATCTTTCTGATATCTTGTCCAGTTGAAAAAAACTAATCACATGCATATTTTGGAAACCTTCTCCTTTGTCGTCTTCATCTTCTTCTTCTTCCTTCTTCCTTCTTCTTCCCTTCCTCCTTCCTCTCCTTCCTCCTATTCCTCCTTCCTCCTTCTTCTCCCTCCTTCTTCTCTTCCCTCCTCTCTCCTTCTTCCTTCCTCCTCCTCCTCCCTCCTCCTTCTTCCTTCTTTCTTCTTTTTTTTATGGTACTGTGGTTTGAACTCAGGGCCTACACCATGAGCCACTCCACCAGCACTTTTTTTTCCTTTATTATTCATATGTGCATACAAGGCTTGAGTCATTTCTCCCCGCTGCCCCCACCCCCTCCCTTACTACCGACTCCGCCCCCTCCCTTTCCCCCCCACCCCCTCAATACCCAGCATAAACTATTTTGCCCTTATTTCTAATTTTGTTGTAGAGAGAGTATAAGCAATAATAGGAAGGAACAAGGGTTTTTGCTGGTTGAGATAAGGATAGCTATACAGGGCATTGACTCACATTGATTTCCTGTGCGTGTATGTTACCTTCTAGGTTAATTCTTTTTGATCTAACCTTTTCTCTAGTTCCTGGTCCCCTTTTCCTGTTGGCCTCAGTTGCTTTTAAGGTATCTGTTTTAGTTTCTCTGAGTTAAGGGCAACAAATGGTAGCTAATTTTTTATGTGTCTTACCTATCCTCACCCCTCCCTTGTGTGCTCTCGCTTTTATCATGTGCTCAAAGTCCAATCCCATTGTTGTGTTTGCCCTTGATCTAATGTCCACATATGAGGGAGAACATACGATTTTTGGTCTTTTGGGCCAGGCTAACCTCACTCAGAATGATGTTCTCCAATTCCATCCATTTACCTGAAAATGATAACATTTCATTCTTCTTCATGGCTGCATAAAATTCCATTGTGTATAGATACCACATTTTCTTAATCCATTCATCAGGGGTGGGTCATCTTGGCTGTTTCCATAACTTGGCTATTATGAATACCAGCACTTTTTTGTGATGGGTTTTTGTGAGATAGGGTCTCATGAACTATTTGCCTGGGGCTGGCTTTGAACTGCAACCCTCCTGATCTCTGCCTTCTGAGCTAGAGGATTACATGTATGAGCTACCAGCACCTGGCCTGGAAACATATTCTGTGTAAAAATAAAAACCCTATATAATAAAAATAACCTTTATAATTCTTCACATCAGAATAAGGGTTACTGTTTTTTAAGTACTTAAAATATGATGGACAGTCTCTTAGGTACCTTGCTTGAATCTGAGATCACACAGCATATATTGTCTTCATAATGACCACTTTGTAGATAAGGCAAGAATTGTCAGAGCCAGTTTAAGTTTGGTTCTTTTTTATTTTAAGGTCTTTGTTTTTAACTTTTATAATATGTAAAACAATAATTTTATGTTTATTTCCAGACTTTTTGCCCAGTATGTAATATTTTGCATACTTCCAGTAGAAATTCATGAATAATTAGGTGACCCATCAAGGCTGAGTAAGATTTTTCAATGATTATTAAAGTAATACATTGTTATTATAAAATAGAAACCAACAGTGTATTGATTCTGTCATACAATAATAGATATGTCAATTCAAACATTTTTCTTGAGTAAAATTGGTAATAATTCCCATAATTCCTAATGGAAATAAATGTTTCTATTAATGGAAAAGTAAACTGCAACATCAAGCTTAATAATATCAATAGAGTATATTAATAAGAATATGTAAGTATATATATTTTGGTAGTACTAGGTTTTGAACTCGGCCTCATGCTTGCTAGGCAGTCTCCCTACCAAAAAGGAGAGTTGACTCCTGATTCCATATATTCTGACATTAGAAAATTTTAATTTCACTTTGCTTATATAAGCAAAATTAGGAAAAGGAAGTGTAAAGAAAGAAAAAGTAAACCCCATCGTTAAGAGGTTGACAGTCTCTTAACATCTCAGTCTTTTGGTCTTTTTTTTAACTGAATGTAATAGATAATGTTTTTCTTCTTAAAAAAAAAAACTTCATAAGTAGAGCCATTTCTTACACATTTTTTATCTTATTTTTTATGGTACTGGGGTTTGAACTCAGGGCCTCGTGCTTGCTTGGCAGGTGCTCTACTTGAGCCACTCTGCCAGCCTTCCTGCGCTTAATGATTTTAATCATTTTATACAATGGATTATCTGAATTTTGCTTGAAAGTAAGTTTTTTATCATAATATGTAGTAACTGTCCCATGGTCATAGGAACTTTTGTCTAAAAACTTAGAGCTTGTAGAAAATCTTTAGTTTAGACGTAGAAGGGAAAACAAACAAGAATAATCATGCGCTCCAGAAGCCGACTCAGACAATGGTGGTCTGAGTGCTCTTGAGCCCTTTGTACCAGGTTGTTTCATTTCATGGTTACTTGCTTCTTGGTCTGTTTTTTCATATTGGCAAAATTCCTTTCATGAAAAATTCATTTGTTCTCTCTATAAAAGACTTTTATACATATGGAACTATCAGGCAATAATATGTCTGTTAGAGAGTATCTTATAAATATGCCACAGTTGAGAGATTGCTTTTTTCCTAATTCTTAGGTGTGTTAAGATCTACA